AAAAATATATATATTTTAAAAAAATAATCAGTGGTGGCAGAGGCATTATGAAACCGTGGGTGGGCTGATGTATATTCTCTGCGGAAAAATATATATATATATATTTAAAAAAAATAATCAATGGTGGCAGAGGCGTTATGAAACCGTGGGTGGGCTGATGTTTATTCTCTGCATGTTAGACACAGGGTGAAGGGCAGTGAACATGTGGTAGTATATTTAGATTAGATTAATTGCTTGTCATCAGACCATGAGCTCTTTGATACGGGGCCTCCTCTATCCCAAGACATTTCTAGCTCCCTCACTGTGTGTGTAAGTAAATGATTCTTTCCTCAGGCTGTTTCAGTTATGGAAAGACTGAGCAATGATTGCCTTCTGCTCTTGCAATCAATGTCTGACCAGTTTCTCTGCATTAGTAAGACTGAGTTTTGTCATATGAAGCTTCCAGTAATTGAGAATTAAATTTCCCTAATTCTTGAATTGATCAGAACTTTGGATTTTGCGTGCTTAAAAAAAAAAAAATTTGAAAAATGTGGCTGCAGAAAACACAAATGAATGTGTTTCCTGCTGTCTTGAGGTCTGTGAAGCTTGTAGTACATAGATGATTTTTCCAGGATGCTTTATTTGGGAACTTTTTATCAGTAATGGACATAGCCCATTATGTTATGGTTTAAAATAATGACAGCTGTTTTTGCCATTAAATGCTGAGTCATTTAGAAGTCTGGGGTAAGGTGGATACACAAGCGTACGCTTTCAAATTGAATACTTCTCTTTTTAAAATGAATAAAACTGTATTTGCATTAGGCACTAGTATTTCTGGCTTCACTTCTTCTTGTGTACTCTGATAAAGTCGTTTAAAATCAAATGCTCTGCCCATTACATATCTCTTCAGCAAAAGCCACTGCAAGTATTTTAAGCATTGACAACCAGAATGCATCCAGGTGTTGAGCTGGCCCATGACAAAAGCAGCTTTCTTGTGCAAGTGCAGTGGAATATTTACATTTTAGCTAGAATAATCTCAATAATTCCTTTAAGAAATATCTGAGAGCTAAAAACCAGTTCTTTGTCATATTGCACTCTTTTTATTTAGAGAAAAAGGGATCTGTTGTTTATTGTTTTCTGTTTGTGTGTGCTGGTGTTGTGGTTTGGGTTTTTTTCAGTTCACTGACTGTATGTGATTCTTATGTTTGTTTGAAGTTAATGGGTGAGAATGAGTCTTTCTCTGAGTAAATAAACACTGGTTTGCTTGCACGGTTTCTATTTTAAATCAAACAGAAGCGGTAGAGCTAAAACACCAGAATTTCTTGCTTAAATTCCATCTGCCTAAAGCATTGGATCAAATTTGGAGCCAACTGCTGAGAGTGTACTTGGGCTCTTGAGCACTCCAGAGGGCTTGGGGTTTTTCTCCTCTATTATATCTTGAGATATGTCTGCACGTGAATATATGTGTGTGTTTTTTTAATTATGAAAAAAAAATATATATTTTTTATAATGAACATGACTGAACTGAGCAGTTGGTAGGTAATTTGCATGGCTGCTCTGTGGCCCCCAGGATTTAGGGTCTGGCGTTTGCAGTAAATGCAATGCCAGAAAGCTTTCCTCACACAAATTAATCCTTACAACTTCTCAGCCTTCTGTCTTCACAGCTCTCAAACCAGTCGGTGCAGTGTATGAAAATACCTCCTCACCTATTGTTTTCTTGGAAGAACAGGCATTGGAGTCAGGTTACTGTGTTTTGAGGACTGCAAGATCCCTGGGAATGAGTGCCTTGTGTCACATCACTGTTGGTTGCCATCTGTTCTTAAAAATATGTCAGCAATATGTGTTGTGGACAACCTGTTCCTTCCTTGTCTTTTTCCTTCCTTCGTTCCTTCCTTTCTGTCTCATGTTTACCTTCCACTTGTCTCCTGTGATTACATGGAGTTTTGCCATCTGTCATCTTCTGCCCCGACTCCTTCTGAAACCTTAATCTGATAAATACAGTAAGGCTGTCAGATACTTTACTGCAAACTTCAGATTAGGTTC